ATTCATTATATGTTTGAAGAGTTTTTATTTGAACATTTCCATAAGAGTGTACTTTAAGGGTGTTCCCAATACTCACTACTGGCAATTTTGCTGTTAGGTGCCTCATACACGTATCATTCCATCTCCATGTAGTATGTCTCTAGGACAGCTTCCTACCATAGAGATTGCTCAACGAAAAAGGTATGGCCTCATAAAAATTTTTGATAGATATTGCCAAGTTTCCTTCCAAAAAACAATTGGAATTTGTTGGTCTGGTAGTCTAGTCTGTCACTTGAAAAATCATTTTATGAATTTGTTTCACATAAAATTTTACTCATTTCTCTGCCATTTCTGACAACTTAGATGGAACTAGAGGGGATTATGCTAAGCAAAATAAGTCAGAAGGAGAAAGATAACTATCAGTAGTTTTACTCATGTATGGAACTAGAGAAACAAACCAAAGACAACAAACAAAGCATAAACCCTAGAAATTTGACTGCAAAATTAAAGCTGCCAGAGTTGGAAAGGAAGGTGGATATGTTGGGGTAGGAGGGAATAATGGAGGATGGTGCAGGACTATAGTGCCTTTGGTGAGTGTGGATTGGTAACATTTGTTACACAACAAACAGCATTGTAAACCCAATGTTACTTCAACAATAACATCAACATTTTATGAATTATTAAATTTGCATTTGTGGTATGTAAATCTTGGTATCTCTTCTTTTCCTAAGTACTAGTGTGATTTGAGATTTATTTGGATAATGTGTGTTTATTCTATCTATGAAACTCATGCTAAAGTAAATACCCCATTGTTACTTGGTTGAAGAATAGAATGTTTTATTATTATTTAAAAGGAAAGTTCTACTGAATGGGAGGAAATATTTGCACATCATATATATGACATGGAGCTAATATCCAAGATCTATAAAGAACTCAGCAACCCAACAGTTGCAAAAAAACAACAAAAACAGCAACAAAAATGTCAATAATGGGCAGAAAAACCAAATAAACATTTCTTAAAAGAAGACATACAGATGATCAATAGGCACATAAAAAATGCTCATAATCACTTATCATTAGAGAAATGCAAGCTAAAACTAGTATGAAATACCACTTCACAATAGTGGATATGACATATGTTAAAAAATCCAGAATCAAGTGTTGGTGAGGGTGTGGAGAAAAAAGAAAACTTTGACACTGTTGCTAGAAACATGGACTACTTCATTCCCATGGGGAATGGGGGTGCCTCAAAATATTAAAAATAGATCTATCATACGATGCAGCAATTCCATTCCTACATGCTACCCAAAGAATGCAAAAACACTAATTTGAACAAATATATATTATTCTATGTTTATTGCAGGACTGTTCCAATAGCCAAGTTATAGATGCCACCTAAGTCCTAAAGGACAGATGAGTGGATTAAGAAGTTGTGATCTACACAGAATGGAATACTACTCATCTATAAAATAAGATGAATTATTGCCAATTTCATGGACATGATTGGAACTATAGGTAATTATGCTAAGTGATATAAGGCAGAACAAAAATGTCAAATACGAAATGATTACACTTAATGTTCAGTACAGAGAAACAAAGTGCAGGGTCAGAAAAAACCAAACCCTAGTAATCTGACTGAAAAATTAAGGTTACTAGAGAGGGAAAGTGGAGAGAAAAGGAGGAGGGGGGCTTTGCGGTGAACTCTATTGGAGGGATTCTGGGTGATGTGGTTGTGGGTATAGAGTGGTAACATACATCTGAAGGGGTGTGAACCTGTAACTCTGAATCACATACCTTATTGCAAATTTTACCTCAATAAAACATATAACAAATAAAAATAAAGTTCCTTATGGAATTAAAATTAGTTCATTATTTGCCATGAGTGTTTACAGGTATTTCAACTTACCTTTTATCTTATAGGTTTAGCATGATTAGTTGACATCTATATTTTCAACTACTTATACATTTAAATTCATGTTATTTCTTATTAGGTATTGGATTCCTGTCTTACATTTTTGTTGTCATTCTTCATGATACCTTAGATCAAGATTTAAAAATTTAACCAGTTTAGAAATCTTTTTGCAGTTGGACTTCTTACTAAGCATGTAATCATGGATCAATTACTCAGTTATATATATCATTTCATCTTCTATAAAGTGAGAATAACCATAACACTAACTTCATAATGACAAAACATTGATTTATTGCAAAGATCATGCAACAGCTGACTCATAGCAAGTGATCATTAAATGTTCCTTGTAGGTATTTCTATCATCATTACCACAGCTTGCTTGGTGACCTATTGTCTCAGACCCTGCCAAAATTAATTGGTTGTTTTGTGGCCATCAATTTTAGATTTTCTGCAGAAGTCAAAGTAAACAGTCAAAATGTCCAATCTCCTTTTATAAACTGATCAGAAATTACTTAGATCCAATTGATTCTACAGTTGATGGCAAGCAAGATACTGATATCTAAAATCAACTGTCAGCTGTTTTGCTGTATAGCAAAAGCACCTAGCATCATAATTACACACTGGGAAGGGAATACATTGATCATTTCGTGCATCCTTCTTAAATCAAATACAGAATAGAAAATTACATCTGTTTCTTATCTGATGCTGAAAACTTTGTAACTATTATTTTGACTCAGTGTCAGTTTTAAATCCTTGGTTTTGAGTCTATGTTAAAAACCTGGAAAATGTCTAAGTACCAAATCAGATTCACTGTAGCTGCATGTATCTAAATACAACTGAAGAACTTAAATATAAAGAAGCTTATTTTCTTATGGTCTTGTTGGAATTACCAGGTCAGAGCTGGAGTATCAGTTCTGTGATGGAATCATTCTTCCTGACATTTTACCTTCTGCTATATCTCATTTAGCAGATATTTGCATTCTGTGGTTGCAAGTGGGGCTGCATTTCCTACATCTGCATTGAAGTCAGCGAGAAAGGAAAATGGTAAAGGTGGAATAAGGATGAATCTGTGTCTTGTTAGGAAACCTCTATCTTTCCTTGCAATTCTTGTATGAATGGACATGCTAGAAGGTGAAAAATTAACTCCAAACAAAACTGAGTTCTCTTAGTAACACGGAAGGCAAGTCTGAATATTAGATAACTCACAGTGACTCTCTAAATGAAGAAGCTCAATCCATATATTTGTAACAAATGTCATATTTTTGTGCATATGTATACAGTCAGTGGGCCTGGCAGAAACACTCACGGCTAAATCAGCAAACGCTTTGTCTATCAGGATGGTCTATCAGGATGGTATCCAATTGCCTTTCCTGCCTCATTTGCTGAAATCCCTTACAGTGGAGGTTACAAACTTTTTCGGTAAAAGGCAGTGTGATAAATAATTTAGGTTTTGCAGTCCCTATTAAACTCTGTCAGCAGTGCCTTAACTACCATAGGCCTTATTTAAATGAATGAGTTTGGGTCTGTTCAAGCAAGACATTATTTACAAGAACAGACAGAAGCCCAGGTTTTTCTTCCCTACCATTGTTTGCTGCATCCAAATCAGTCTGCATGCATGTAAACACACATATTGCTCATGTGTATATACACATGCATGTACGAATTTTTTAAAATTATTGTATGCATGTGTATATACATGCATACATACATCTGTTTGTGTGAATACATGCATGTATACATATAGTGGCTATGTGTGTTATATTTACATATGCAGCTACTCTGTATGTATATGCAAACATGTACACATAAAATCACTGCATTATATATACACTTACATATGTATATACATATTTTAAATGGTTCTATCTAAATATACTGAGGAATTTGATTGCTGACTACAATAACCTTAAAATAATACATATGTACATGCAGTAAACTTAAAAACATGAACTCTTTACTCAAAAACTGCCTTCTAAATCCAATTTCAGACTCTCACAGAGGTAGTAAAAATTATTATTATAGCTGACTTTGGTTGCATTAAGAAATTAATCTTATGAGATTAAAAAAGAAATAAACCAAACTAGACCACTAATCCCTTGTGAGTGGTGAGCAGCCCAGATTATCGGTTGGATTGAAGAACCAGATGACAATTTATCAACAGTGGTAAGGTCTCACATTCAGGATTACCAGTATTAATCTCTTCTTGATTATTTTCTAGATAAACAAATTTGGGAAAATTACATCAAGGCTGTATTCAATTTGCTCATCTTTAAAGCAGTGTGCAAAACACTTCACAGCTTCGATGTATATTTTAAAGTAGATAATGTAGGTAAAGTTATCTTAGTATCTGAAAAGTTTTATTAATGTAGTTATAAACGTTACTTGTATTATTAACACTATTTCGTCATAAACTGCAAGCTTAATAGACATGTAGCAAAAGATTTCAGACAGTCTATTGTCTCTCTTCATCCTTGCAAACTGCCACTTTGAACGTGTTGGTATCTTTTTAACAATAAGCATGGGTACTTGAGTTGTCAAAGAACTGTGATTATTAAGTAAGAATTGCAGGTGTTTTCCGAGTTATGATTGCTTTTTCTTGAGAGAAAAATGTTACTTAGACAGATATGTTCAGGATTTAATTTTAATAAATATTATAACCCTAGTCCCAGTAATCCCAACACTTTGGACCACAGGCATTAAGTATTAAGATGTTATGAAATGCCTTCATATTTCTCCCCACACACAAAAGTTAAAAGCTGGTCTTCAAAAGATAATCTTTTGGGGCCTCCATGCTGGCGCAAGGGATTAAGCACAACACTATGAAGCTATCCGCAGCCTCTGCTGTGCAAGTTTGATCCTTGGCCAAGGAGTGACCCACATGGCACAGCAGACCTCTCTAGACTCACCCACTGCTCTCCTCAGCAATGTGTTTCAGTAGATGCACCTGTTCTGCTTCCCACTCTGTCTCTGGTGAATCCTCTCACCCTCTGCACCTCTGGCCTGTACCCCAGTTCTTGTATGCATAAATAAATCTTTGAAAAAAAAAAGATGACCTTTTGGATCCTCAAAAAACATATTAACTGGATAAGCATAACTATGAGTTTCTTACCCATGTCTGACATCTCAGGCACAGTGACTATGTACGGCCCATCCGTGAACTTTGGGGCGTTGTCATTGATGTCCTGAACTTTGATGATGAACTCAGATTCAGGCTCCAGAGGCTTGTTTGTCCGTCTGTCGATGGCCTGGGCATGAAGCACATAGTGTGTCTTCTGCTCTCTGTCTAGGCTTTTCGTGGAGTGGATGTCACCCGTGGTGTCATCAATGATAAATATAGTCCCGGCACCTTCTCCAGTAAGGATGTACTTGACAGACCCATCACCTTTGTCAGAATTGGAGTGCAGCTGCAAAATACAAATGGGACATTTACCATGCAATTATGTTCCCACCTCGCATAGTGTCACCAAAAATTGCTTATCTATAATTTAATGTTTAGCTTATGACTTTCTTCCTTCTACAGAGTCCAGTGTGTTACTACCATCATTTATTTTTCTGCAGTTACTCTGCACATTATATTAATGTGGATTATTTTTATCATGACCTGTCTAAATGATCCAATTATGTAATTCAGAGAAATTAATAAACAATACTTATTAAAAGAAAAACAATCATCCCTGTTGCCATTCTATTAGATATGTAAATTAAAATCATTTCATTAAATACATAGAATAGGATTGAGAAAATGAATCACCAGTAAATCACTATTGCATTCTGTCCTTGTAGGAATAATGTTTTTAATTGTTTGCTATGCTATTTCAAACTTACAATTAGAAAATGATGACTTAGGATGCACTGAATTTGTGGTTAATCATTAAAACTTTCACAAATAAAGAAAACAAATAATCCAATCAGAAAATGGCTAGAAGATGGAAACAAAAGTTTCTTCAAGGGCCTCCCCTGGTGGCGCAATGGTTGAATGCTGGGTTGCGAGGCTGCCCGCAGCCTCTGCGGCGCCAGTTCAATCCCCGGCCACCGGCGAGAGTCCCACAAAAAAATAAAATAAAATAAAAAGTTTCTCCAAAAAGGATATATGGACAGTTAATAAGCATATGAAAAAAAGGTCATCACCAATTATTATCAAGGAAGGCAAATCAAAACCACAACAGCTATGATCTCACACCTGTGAGAATCGCCCATGATATAAAGTTCAGAAACAAGAAGTGTTGGTGAGGATGTGGAGGAAAGGAGCCTTGGCCCACTGTTGGGGGTGCAAACTGGCACAGCTCTTAGGGAAAACAGTGTGGATTTTCTCAAAATGTTAGAATTCCATTCATACACGTCCACTTGAAGAGGACAAAAATACTAATTTGAAGGGACAGATGCACTCCTCTGCTCATTCTGGCACCATTTACAATAAGCTAGTTATGGGAACAAGCTAATGTTCAAGGATAGCTAATTGGATTAAGAAGGTGTGGTGCAGGGCCTCCTTGGTGGCACAAGGGGTTAAGCCGTAGCACTAAAAAGCTATCTAAAGACACTGCAGCCTGAGTTCAATCCCAGGCGAGGGAGCAGACTAACATAGCACAGCAGACCTCTCCTGTCTCCCTGCTGCTCCCATCAGGAGTATATTTCAGCAGATCCACCTGTTCTGCTCCCCACTCTGTCTCTAGTGAATCCTCTTACTCCCCGCGTCTCTGGCCTGCACCCCTGCTCTTGCATGCATAAATAAATAAATCTTAAAAAAAAAAGATGTGGCATATATACACAATGACATATCACTGCATGTTTAAAAAAAATAAATGAAAACTTGCCCTTCCCACATTGCAACTGGAGGGATAATGCTAAGTGAAATAAGTCAGAAGGAAAAAGATAAATATGGCCTGGTTTCACTGATACATGGAATATAAAGAAAACAAAGGGTCCATCAAAACCCATCAATAATAAACATTACAAATATGTCTGCAGAATTAAGGTTACTAGAGAACCGAGGGGGAGTATAGAGAACAAAATGTGGAGGAGGCCCATTGGAGTGCAGGGGGTCATGGAGGTCTGTGGGTGCCTTGGTGGTGGGGGTGGTGTGGTGACACACATGTGAAGAGGTTAGATCCTATTCATCGGAATCACATACAGTGTTGTAAACCAAAATTACCTCCATTTAAAAATAAAAGGGGACCTCCTTGGGGTCTTAAGGGGTTAAGCACAGACCTATGAAGCTATCTGCAGCCTCTGCAGCATGAGTTTTATCCCCAGCCAGCCAGGGAGCTACCACATGGCGCAGCAGACCTCTCCTGTCTCACACGCTGCTCCCCTCAGCACTGTATTACAGTAGATCTGCCTGTTCTGCTCCCCACTCTGTCTCTGGTGAATCATCTCAACCCCCATGCCTCTGGCCTGTACCCCAGTCTGTGTATGCATAAATAAAACTTTAAAAAAATAAAATAAAAAATAAAAAATTGAAATAAACAAAGCTATTTGACTTTCTTAATAAAATGAAATTTTCACAGAGACATTTATTTGTCACAGAGGCATTGATTTTATAATTTGAAAAAATAAAATCTCTATTTAATATTCAATTTAACCAATTAATCAAAAACTAGACTCGTGTGGTAGAATCACCTTCCTTCTTTAAAAAGGTTGAAACTTTAACTCAACATTAAAATAGTGGTGATAGTAGTGACTCAATCAATAAGCCCAAATTGATTTTGAATTATAAATATTTATAACATCCACTTATTAAAATTAAAATGATCAAATGTTTGTGAATAAATAGAAAATAATATCATCGAAGAGAGCTCTTCAATAAGAAAGACAGATAGATTTTAAAAAAATTATCAATTACCTTTTGTCAATTAAACATCTGCAAATGCTTTTGAACTGTACGCATTCATATTTTATTATTAATTAATGCATTCATAATTTACAATAACTTATTAAATTAAAATTCAGTTAACTATTCCCAGGAGTGTTGCTGCTACATTTCTAGCTAGAAACAACTGCAGCATTTTCTCAAATCACAAGCATATATTTGAAGAGTTTCTCCCAAGAGATCTGAGCAGTTATCCTTCTTATGAAACCTTTTTGGGCACATAACCTCAACTACTCACCTTTTCCTCATTTCTAACGCTTGGAAACATTGAAAAAATATAACCTTGTCACACAGTATTTTAGTTTCTTGCCATAGTAAAGCGAAATTTTCAAGGTTTACTTTAAAGTCTCTGAACTCTTAGAAGACATTTTTTAAAAGACAAAATACAGGAAAAAGATAATAGAACATGGGGAAAAAAAGGAATATGTTTATGGGAAAATGAAGGCAACAGCAACAAAAATGTACCTCCATAGTAATTTTACTTCTTTCTTGAAAACACATGAGCATAAACAAGGGCAGAATTCTGATGGGAAACAGTAATATTCCACAAATTTAAATCACTTTTAAATGCTTTTTTGGACACTTTTATAAAAAATAATAAAAAAATAGAACTCAAAGTTTCACTTTTCATTGGTATATTAACTATTAAAATAATACAGAGTGAGTTATGCAGAGGCAATTAGTTATAAGTTGATATGAAAATATTTTTTATTCATGTCATTGCCTCAACAAATTAACTCCTAGAAGAAAAAAAGTGATCTCTTATAAAGCAGACACCCACAAAATATTGTTAAATCTGTTTCATATTCTGGAAAATTGACCAAACATAGCAAAACAAGCTACAAATTCATTGAACAAATATTTTTCAAACATTCTGTGACAATCATATCAATAAATTAACAAATGGTGAGATCATTCTACTACCTATCACTGTGTTGTATTTATAACTGGTAAGTACTATATATTTCAGTCTAAGAATTGTCTTTGTTGTGATTTGTTAGTTCCTTTACTCTGCTTATTTATGTGCCTCATATGAGAGAAACCAAATGACTTATTTCACTTAGAACATTCACCTCAAGTTCCATCCATGTTGTCATGTCACAAAAGCCAATATTTCATGTCTCTTGTATAACTGAGTCATATTCCATTGAATAATCAATATATATGCCACAGCCTATTTATCTTGTCAGTTACTGGTGAGTAATAGGCTGGGCATTTCTGTGTCTTAGCTATTGTGACTAATGCTGTTATGAACATAGGGGTGCCAAAAACTTATCAAATTTGCACTTTTGTATTCTTTGGATAAATACCTAGGATTGGAATTGCTGGATCATATGGTTCTTTCACTTTTAGATTTTTTAGGGCTCTCTACCCCATTTTCTATGTGGGCAGCACCAATTCACAATCCCATCAGTGAACAAGAGTTCATCTCCTGGTGTATCTTTGCCAACAAATATTGTTTCCAGATTTTTTGAGAGAGGCCATGCTAACAGGTTTGAAAAGAATAGCTCAGTGTGGTTTTGCTGAATTTCCCTAGTAATAATTGAATTTGAGTGGTTTTCTTTCTTATTCTTCACATGTCAGCCTTCTGTATATCTTCTTTGGAGACTTATTTATTCAAATCATCTGCCTATTATTTTTTAAAAGATTTATTTATTTATACAAGCACTGGGGTACAGGCCAGAAGCGCGGGAGGGTGAGAGAATTCACCAGAGACAAAGAAGGGAACAGAACAGAAGGAGCAAAATACACTGCTGAGGGAAGCAGCGGGTGGGCGAGACAGGAGAGGTCTGCCACGCCATGTGGGAATCTCCCTGGCTGGCCGGGAATTGAACAGGCACTGCAGAGGCTGTGGACAGCTTCTCAGCACTGTGCTCAACCCACTGCGCCACTGGGGAGGCCCCTGCCTGTTTTTTTTTTTTTTTTAATTTTCATAATTTTTTTGTTGTTATTGAGTAGTATGAGTCCATCCACATTTGGGGGATTATACCTGTGTTGAATGTATATGGTGAAAAATATTCCCTTAATCAGTAGTTTTTCTTTTTGCTTTTGTGGTGGTTTCTCTCACTGTGCAAAAGCTATTTAATTTGATGTGTCCCATTTACTTATGTTGGATGTTGTTTGAGTTGAGTCTCCAAAGATGTCTCTGCAGTCTATGTCAGGAACTCATGTTTTTTTTTGCCCTTCTATTTTATCTCTTCAGTTTTTATCCACATCATTAATCCAACATGAGATTATCTTTGTGTATATGACATACATTTTACAACACAGTCTGCTCCTGCTAGAAACACTGGGTATACTGTCAGGTTGTACTTAATATGTGAGTTTTAAGATCCTGGAAAAAACACATGTTCTGCATTAGGGTTTGTAATACTAGAAATGAGGATTACTTGAAAGAAAGAAGAAATGAAAGCAAGGAGGGAAGGGGGGAGGGAGATAAGGAGGGGTTAGCAGAAATGATCGCAGTGGAAGTAGAAATCTTCAGATGAGAGAGAGCTCTTGGGTACAGGGTTATATCATACAAATAATCAGGATAGA